TACTATTTACTATAATGCATCAACTAATTGTTTTTACCATATATCATAAATGTTAGTTTTACCAAAATAAATTTTATTCTTTTACAATTTATATAGCATAATTTAAATGCTTTTTATTATAATTTTACAAAAATTCTATCAATGTCATTTCTAAAAAGTATATCAATTTACATTCTGCATGAATTACGTGAAAAAAAATAATTTGTTATTGACATGAACATTAAGGTGATCCATCTTGCACGTGCAAACAATCATTTTGCACATTTGTAAGTTTACAAAAGATGATCCATCTTGCACGTTACTCTATTCACAATCGGACTTATTTTGCACCTAAATGAAATTGAATTATTCTGCCAATTAAAAAAAGTGAAAGGCATGTGGACCTAATTTGAAACTAAATGCATGCTGTTAAAATTGAGTCATTTTTTTTTTATTTTTTTCATAGGTATTTAATTTATAACTTTAATTTTAATTGGCTTATATTCTTACATGTTATTTCAATTATTATATATATGCTTATCTATATAATAGTAATAATGTATTTCGTTAATCAAAAATGAAGAAAATTATATTATTATCAAGACATTTTTTTTTCTTCAAAGAGTGTCATCAATGTGACAAATACTAATTATCATTGACTATCACAAATATGTTGTTTAAGTTAAATTTATTTCATTTGAAAATATTTATAGTAAAAAACATATGTTAGTTTATAGAAACAATCAATTATATGTTGTTGTTTCTATAGTCATAATCTTTGTTGTCTCATGATTATTATTTATGAGGATAATGGTAATAATTAATACAATTCATCCACTAAAAATGTTGTATTTAGCTAAACATTTTTAAAATATAATGGATCGATTTTTCATAATGAATTTTATTTCTCTATATATATTTTATGAAAGATAATATTTATTTAAATTATAATTCATCTACATAATTTTTAACATCAGGCCGCGCAACGCGCGGGTGACGTACTAGTTAACTAGAATAGCAAGTCAACTATTTATCCTTTTTAGTTAAATTTATTATTTTAATATTTTTTCAACAACATTTGCAGTTCGGTGAAAAACCGCACCGGACAGCAAAAAACTGAAAACCGAACTTGACAAAAAATAACCGAACTGCACCGTAATTTAAAAAAAAAAAGAATCAAAACCGAACTGAAATTTTTATACATTAAAATAACCTCACATCACCTCACTTCACTGAAACGGTTCGGTTCGGTTTTTCAGTTTTATCTCAATTTTTATGTACATTTTATGCAATTTGGTGCGGTTCGGGGAAAAACCGCACCGAAACGAACAACCGAACTTAAGAAAAACTATAACCGAACCGCACCGCAATGTCGGAAAAAGACCGAACTGAACCGAACTAAATTTTTTTATATTAAAAAAATTGAACTGAACCGCACAGAATTGCTCGGTTCGGCTCGGTTTTTGCTCACAAGTCACAATAATTAAAAGGATTAAATGGAAAAAAGAAGAAAAAAAAAAGAAAAAAAAAAAAAAAAAAAAAAAGAAAAACGAAGTTGACCTTTTTTCTTTGTGGGGATGGTTCGGCCGTACTTCTATAATTCCTCTTAATAGGTTATTTATATTAAAAGCCAACACTACACGGGTCTACATATTATTTTGTACCAAAGCCTTTTATTATTTCACCAATACACCACTACTCTACCTTTAGCAACACGCCCCCACTTCTCTTTAATTACAAAGAAAAACCCAACCCATCACTAAAGAACCTCTCCGGCGGTGACGGTGCTTTTTATGGCTTCTGGACAGCGGTTGTTGGTGGCGGCGCTCCTCCTGTTCCTCCTGGTTGACTCATCCTCGGCGGTTCCGGTAACAAGTAAGCAAATTATAGTTAATTGTTCATATGAATGACAAAATTATCCATTTTGATGCATCTCTACAGTTAATCATCACGATTTTATTTTATTTATTTTTAAATATTCATTTTAATGGGAACAATTAAAATAATTTAATACTTGTTTGTGTGTGTGTGTGTGTGTGTGTATTTGCAACAGGGAGCCTAAAGACCATCAAAGACAAGGTATTATCATCTAACATTTTTTACATAGGGAACTTGTGTTTCTGTATAATTTTAATTGTTATATGTTTCTAATCATTTTTTTTTTTTTTTTAAATTAAGGACCAGTTTATTATTTTTAATTATTTATAATTCTAAACTCACTATTCTTGCGATGGCTGTTGATTTTTTGTTTTTGATTATTTATAATTTTAAACTACTCATTCAATTATATAGTAAAATAATGTTTTCTATAAATAAAAGGAAAATAATCTTAAGGATAGTAGTATGTACATATCTTATTGATCTGCCAAGAAATATTAAATACATTTTTATTTATGATATATGATACGAAGTTTTAAAAATGATATCTTTAAAAATGATCTCCTTTACGAAGTTTTAATTTAATGCGACATTAATGGGCTATAACTCCTTACCATTTTATCACATGATTTAGTTGCACAAATCGTAGTTTCAAAATTCAGACCATTAATTAGATGTCCGATATCGGGTCACGGAATCAATCGCTGAGCTAAGTAATAAATTTTAAAAAATTTAAAAATATATTTATATTATGTTAATTTTAAAATTACTAAATTAATTGCCAAATCAATTGAAAATGTAGCTGCAATTTGTTATAAATTTTTCCACATTTGTTTGGGAAATTTATCTTACTGAAATGAAATAAATATTTTTTGCACAAAAAGTATTTTTTTTATCTCGTTTTTTCTCTATAAATTACACCAACATATATATTTCACAACGAAAACTAATCATTATTATATATTTTCGAACAAAAAATGTTATTTTATCTAGTCACATATTTATAACTATTAAATAATATTCTATTATATTTGTATCACGTCAATTTTAATCATCTTATTTTTTATTTTTTGTCTTATACACATTGGCATTGCCATAGCTATAATAATAAAAAATATTCAATTTCATATCTTATTTTATTTAGTGGTGTTCATAAATTTGGTGGTGTTAATTAATTTAATCCCCAAACAAATTAAGGACATGTTTGGTTCAAGTAAGGGAAAAGGAGGGAAAGGAGGTGAGGGGAGGGGAGGTGATGTAAAATAATTTTACCTTGTTTTGAGGGATTTTGTAGGAGGTGAGTAGAGGGAAAATGGTAAACTTTGTTTGGTTAGAAAAATGGAAGAGAAAGAAATATTGTAAAAATGACAGTTATACCTTTAATGATGTAAGAAACAAAAAAATAAAATAATTCACATATTACGGTCAGAAGTGTAATTTGGCGTTAAAAATTTTCTTTCTCCTCCAAATATTGGAGGGAAGAGTATTTTTCTTAGAAGAGGGATTTGAAAGGAAATCCTAACCCCTTCCCCTAAAAATTAACGACACAAGCGAAAAATAAAAAATTCCCTCCTTTTCTTTCCTCTCCACTCTGTTTCCACCGAACCAAACACTGCGTAAGTCTGTCTGGCAGGACTCATTATCATCATTGCAACACAAGAAAATTGTTGGTCTCTAAACAAGAATATTGCTTTCTGGAATTGGAAATGGTTTCTCAATTAAATTTTTAATTATTTTATTCACAAATAATATTAATAGAAAAAGAAAAAACGAGATTTCATTTGCTTTAATGACTAACTATTTTGAGCTTTAATTTAGTAGTAGTTATTAAATTATTCCACATTTATGTTTACTACACAATTTTTTATTTAACGAGTTTTGTTATTCCTCGTGAAATTATAGGTAGCTGCAGAAAATGCTGAACTCCTAAATTTAGAGGAATTTGTGGAGGGAAGAATGAATTTGGAGGTTGAAGATTATTCAGGAGCTGGAGCTAACTATAAGAATGAACCAGGAACCCCTGGAAGAAATTAAAATAGACATTTCTTTATGGTAACTATTATTATTACCATTCCAAATAAAACGCGACGCATGATTGTATCATATACTCGTGTGTGCGCGTTTTTCTATTTTATTTTATTTTTAAAGATGATCAATAGTCGTACCCTACTTTATCTTTTGATGACTCGAACTCGAGTGTGTGCCTGGTTATGTGTTGTATATTGTGGGTGTGTGTGATTTCTTGTGTTACAACGTTTTGATTGTAATGTTGTTGCAATTTAGTCGTGAGGTTTTCCTTCAAAATTGTTGCTATGTGACTAGTATTTGAAGGTAGGTATGTGACTATTAAATGGATATTGATTGGCTTTCGGAAGAAGCTATAGTGACTGGAAGAACAATAAGAAGTTAAGGTAGTACTAATACCGCCCGCAGTGAAAACTATTATGATTGTATTATGATTTAAATATATAAATAACTATAATCATGATTCATCTAATTTTTTCAAAATCGAACCATGCCGAATAATCCGAGTTTTGGAGCACTAACCATTTTATTGATCATTTCAGTTCGTTTGAATAAAATGTTTGTTAGTGAACGTATCAACAGATGTTGCTTGAATAGGTAGGATTTGTACGATTTTTAAATAAATTTCGTAGCATTTAAAATTATTTTTAATGTGAATAAAAATACACATTTCGATCAAATGAATATTAATTAATATTAATAAATTAAATTTTTAGTCCAACCAATGATGTATTGAGTAAACCTAATCGGTTCGACGATGGTTTAGTTCTGAGAAACAATGATTTGCCATACATTAAAAAAAATTGTAATTCTATATCGTTTTGTTTTCATAAATATTAATAGAGTAATAAATGAATATTCATAAATCACTGAACATATTTTCATAAAATTGTTCTTGGAACTTTGATTACATTACATTTATCGTAATCGATATGATCTGGCCAAATTGACATGTAACTAAGGAACAATCATAGTTGTTTCATGATTTTGTATTATTTTAAGTATCAGTTAAAAATAATTTAATCAACTTGGACAGTGACCTATTTCAGTCACCCGATTGAAAAAAGAAATTTTCTTATTTTTCCTTATACAATACAATAAAATTTGGAATTTCCGTCCCTACTACGGTCATCGACATCGCTTCTACTGTCACCGTTGTCGCTTCGCCTGACGGGGGCCTCTCAGTGTCTGTCTCTGATTCCCTTGCAACCGCGGACGGGGCAAATCTGCCAACATCGCACAAGCACCAGGGCTCAAAGCACTGGCGCCATATCCGAGGACTCGACATCAACCATCGAATATGACGAAGCTGACATGTTTAAAGTAGGTGAGAAAGAAATTACAGAGGAATCGACAATCTGTAGTGACTCAAACGATGCAGCAATGGCAAGCGCACAACTTTTTCACGGGAAAATAGGCTAAGATCTCTCCGGGGAGGTAAAAAGTCATCCAAAGCGAAGAAGATGTTAATTTATAGCAAAGGGATGTCCAATAAGTAAACGCCGCAATGTAAGAGGAATAGACACGTTTGGAAAATACACTGTCACACCCCAAACATTCAAAAAGTGACGGTTCATGAAGTTTGATACTCGTACACCAAGTATCCAGGGTTGCAAACAATTTAATCAAAACAGAATTAAAAGAAGATTCAAACAAATACGGAAGCAGCTTCACTATTAATTGAACCTTCAGGAGAGCGTCCCACTCTCCCTTCAGATCTATTTCATTAATGCAGACATCTCAAACACTCTTTAAGGGTTTACAGTATAGACTCACTCTACACTAAATTTGAACAGTAATTTGCATTATTACTTATCCGACCACAAATCCCTTGTGGCTTTTCTAGTTCGAATCCCTCAAACTATATCAGAATGAACCTCTAAACACTCTGTTCAATCTCTCACAAATAAAACAAACTGAATATATGACTTCTCTCAAAAAATAAAAAATACAATCAACAATGATGCAAAAGTCATCTTCAACATGAGTCTCAGCCTCCTTTTATCTTCAAGCTTCATTTGGTAAGTCTCTTCTTTTTCTTAGCCTCAAAGTTAAAATGCACATAAGGAAGGTCTCTTGATGCTTAAAGCACGCAATCTCTCTCTTGCGATTATGGAAGGTGAATCCCAAGTTTATTCCCCATAGACCTGCCATAATAAACACTTATTATTATTAATCAATTAATAACAATAAATAAAAAGAGCTTCTATTCAATCTAAAACAAACTTCCCTTAAATACTCTTACTTTTTTCTAAATTCTGTGAACACAAGAAGGTTAATTGATTTACTGCCAATCTTCAGAACTTACAATCTCCCACTTTGGCAGATAAATAAAAAATCATTTTCTTGAACCTGCATGAATAATTACGTATCCTGCACGACAAATAACAACCCCAAGAATACTTATCTCATCACATAAGTGTTGTTCATAAGAACAACTCGAATACCTGAATAAGAGCAAAATAGTTCACATGATACTACTAAGGAAAATGTTCATTACATGCAAGCAGAGGAAACGAAAAAAAAAGTTCAAACAACCTACACGCAATTCAAATATTTTTTAACAAAACACAAATAAATATCCAGACATAAGGACTACGCAGACTGCTCATCCTCAGTCTATTCGACAGAACCTTCGTCTGAACCATTCTCAGACTCTTCCTCGGTAGCCACATCTTCGTCTTCATCCTCACCATCAAAACCTGCTTCATCTTCTTCTGCGTCAGAACCTTCATCATTTTCCAGTGCCTTCTCATTTTCCTTTTCCTTGGCAGCAACATGAACAACCTTTTCCTTCACTTTAGTCGTGACCTCAGCAGCCCTAGACTTCTCCCCCTTAGTCCTAGCAGGTACTTTCTTCTTTTCTCCCTTTCCGACAACATCCTTTATCTCCCCCTTTTTTGATTTAGATACCAAAAGGGCCCGTGACTTTAATGCACCCAACACCTCCTTATAGTACTTTCGTTGATCAGCCAGCTCCTTTTCAAGCCCAGAAAGGACTGCCACTTGTTGGTTCAAGAATCCGCACAGGTGAGAAGGAACATCAGAGGCCTTGAGAAGAGATGGTCGTCGAGGGGCAGACTGAACACCAACAAGGGCAAGAGGTTTGAGCGTAGGAGAGTAATTATCACCCACACGTGGGTCCATTTTGACACCGACCTTGAAGAGAATGGCGCAAATAGTAGACGAATAGAGCAACAATTTGTGGGGATTGGAGATCTTAGCAAACGATACCACGACATAAAAAATAACATCTTAATGTCGAAGGGAACACCATTAAGAATGCGATAGTGTAACGCCCTACTTTTATTCGACGAAAATCAGAATAAATGTTTCAAAATTTATTTCAAAATCATTGTGGCGTTACTCATTTTTCGAAAGCATATCTCACTAATCAATAATAATTTCAAAACTCAATAATCAATCATGAAACATCAATCATCTACCCAAACCAAGTTTCTCAAATTTCTAAAATCCAAGGAGTACACTCCTTAACAATAATCCAATATTCGCCTGTAATAGTGACAGAAGACAGTTCAATAGGCAGAAGCAATAATCACATAAATAGACCACCACTCGCATTCCTCCGCCGTGCCTGCACTTATTAACCTGCATCCATGAAGAGCAGGTGGGGGTGAGCACAAGTGAAAACCGTGGTGCTCACCACTATGCCCCAAACATTTATCAATAATCATAAAGAACAGTAATCGTAAGACATAGCAGGTATGGTCGCAGTATGAACACAAATTAATCAATTAATATCCCATCTCTTATCCCAGAGTCAACTCTCATATGCACACCTATGCCAATAGACTGCTGCTGATACACGTATCGAATGCCCCTCGGGTCTTACAATCGATGCCCAGCCAGCAGGAGTAAATCCACCTCGAAGGCCCGAAACCTAGCCATCGGACTTACATCGGAGATCACCAGCCGAGGCTCACACCCTGACTGCCATACAATAATAAAGAAGACTACCAATATGGTACGTTCTATAGCTACGAGAAAAATCGTTCGACGACCGGTACAACTTACATCGAAGGCTACATGGTTCGCATGCATACTTTGATCATACCACAGGTAATCAATAATAACATTTACAGCATAGTAATTTCAAATAAGACCCACCTGGTCGAGAGCAAATGAAAGCACAAAAAATAAAGGGGGTAGGCTGCGAGCTCGGCTCGTCAAGCACCTACAACAAGTCAAGATACTAAAATCAATATCTTATCTTAACCTTAGAAGAAACCCACAAATCACACGTAGTCGAACTTAATTCAACTAAGTCGTTCGTGGAGTTCTGTGGACATTAGAAACTTGGACTCGACTCGAAACCAATTATGGGCAAACACACCAATTTAGGTTGGTCAGGCAAACGAATGTATTAGGTTCTGAAACCTTAACATAAAATTCACCCTACTGGACATAGAAATATCACCAATTTTCAGCCTTTAACTCTAAACACACGATTTTATAAAATTAAAGCAAGTTTTCAGCAATAACGAGCATAAATTGATAGCCTGACCTAATGAATGATTTGGGACTGGAAATATTTACACAGGAAATTACAACATGTAAGGATCATCATATAAAATTTCCTGCTCTAAACATCAAACACACAATTTATAGAAATTGCAGCAATATTCAACAGAAAACTCATTTTAATTAAGCACCTATCATTATGAACAAATTAAATTCTGAACATTTTATGCCAAGTAATAAAACATAAAAAGAGCATTCTCACAAATTTTCAGCAATTTACAACAACAAGTCGAGTTTTCACAAATAAAACGAGTTTCTGCAAAATACTACAAACATTTATTTACCATAGCAAACCAAGTAAAAAAATTATAAAACTTTTATACAACATCCAAATATGAAAGAGGGACAATATATCCAAAATTCAGCCATTTTGGAGCACAATTCGATTTATTATGCAATTTACAAGATGCTGCCAAGAAATCAAAATAATTATTAAAAATAGCTACAGTTAGAAATAAATCATGAAA